AAAGAGAGAGAGAGGAGAGAGAGGAAGAAGAGGCGCATAACGAGACTTAAATCGGAAATGGTCGGAGATTGTAACTGGAAGGTTGCCCTTCGTGCCATAGAATCGATTTTGCAATCGTGCGGGAAAACGGGAGAGCGCGCGCTTGTCGAACCAGCGAAAATTCTCCCTTGCGGACGATCGTAAGGATTAGTATGTAATAAGCAGAGCTCGGATTTTCCTTTTGTAAGGCAAGTAAAACGGATGTATCTTCTCGTGATGCGTAATTTTTTTTGTCACATGTGTTCTTTCTCGGCTAATTATTGATCGCAAAGATTGTACTGGGCAAATGACAGGATTGTACAGCTCTTCAACGAAATCAGAACGAGAAAGTCGGCGTATCTAAAAGTAAAAATTAGTTCCGATAAAGCGAAACTGACTGAAATATCTGATTTTGAATTTAATTGCATTTGAAATTGGTCGATTATAGAAATTGAAAATACTATAACGTTTCTTCTTTTTTTTAAATCTTTTATTTTTATGGAATTTTTAATATGTGAATTTTTATTTTTACATTTAAATTTTTAGTTTTATATTTCTTCAAAATATTTTCTTAGTCTTTCGACTGAATGCAGTAACGTACTTATTTACTTGTGAGCAGAAAATGAATCAAAATTTCATTTTACATAAGGAAAGAATTACGATAGATTGCATATCACGAGACCGCGCCATTATTATTTGTATCGCGAGTCGCATTAATGTAATTTCGCTCAACTGTCCGTAGTGTACGACAAAATACGACAAATCCGAGCTCTAGCTCTCGTTGTTTGTTTGTACGTCGTTCGGTAAGTCGTATTCCCCTGAATTCACACAGTGTCGTTATGACGAATCGATCTTGCAAGCATCCGGCGACACGGAGTCGCATTTTCGACACATCAGCGAGGTCGTTAACGCAATAACGCTCGTACTGATCGTTATCCTTAAGAGTTAGGCCATCAGTTAGGTAATACGTCGAAGTCGTCTGAACATCAATGGTATAATTTGACACGATCTCACACGAGATCGCGATCGTCAGGGACGTATATCATTTTTGCGAATTGATTTTTCATTGCTGTCCACCGAAACGAAAAATATATGCGAATAACTCGTGAGAGAAGATACACGCGCTCACGCATACATGCACACAAACAGGCATACACATTACAGACGTATTTTTTTATATAAATATCAATATTTATTTTATATATACATGTGTATATTTTCGCATGAGAACTATGCTTTTGATAGAGTTGCTATTTTATCTTTTTTAAAAAGAAAAGTTAAAATCTCTTGCGAAGAGATGACTCATTGGCTCAATCGACGCACTTCTATTTTTCTAATTCTTCTATTTTTCTTTGATATATATTTCTCGTCAACATTTTTATCCATCTATCTCGTTTTTTTAATTTCTCATTCTCTTGTACGTATGAATACAGCAAACAGATCAATTATTATTCTGGCGAACAGCTGTTGGTCATTGTAAAAAGTTTTTTCTTCCAACAAAATAGAAATTTTATTTATAATTGACATTTTTTAATCTTTTCAACTATTTTTATTCTTTTTAGAACTGTTTAATGAAGCTATTTTTATTAAATCTTATGAGCTAAATTGCACAAAGATTATTTATTTTAATATGTGTTTTTAATTTATCGCATCTATATAATTATTTCTAACACGTCTCGTAGAGAAATAAAAAATATAACTGAACTTAAAGACCGTTTCTCTGGAAATCAGCAGTATCACGAGCAATTCGATGATAGGAAAGGCAACTTGATTTCCGCGAATCGACATTACGAATCGCAATGGTGTAACCGAACGTGTAATCGAGTACCGACAGAAAATGTAATTCTCGAGAGCTATCATCACGCTGCTCTACGCTCGGCGAGATCCAAAAACTTCAAAAACGAGATTTCTCGCAGTCGAGATGCCATTACATAACTTTGCGCGCTTTTTCCGTTTTCTTTTTTTTTCTTTTTTTCTAATTGGTCCGCGTTAATTAAAGTTTACGTACCGCAAAGCTGTGGAAAGAGATCGCGATCCGGAAGAAAATTTTCTCATCAGAGAGAATGGTTCTTCTTCGTTATTATTCTTCCACTTCCCACAACGAGCTGGCTACCCCTCGCGAACCCCCTCACGTTTCCTTTTGTGTGGAAATCCTCGCGGAATTTCAACGATGGCGCCTTGTATTTATGCAAATAGTGTCGTATAACATTTATGCGTCTCCGGGGCGTTGGAAGCTCGGAAATATTCACTACTCTCGCTTTTATTTTAGCATCTTTTTATTTCTACAGCACAAAATTATTCTTGTCCCTGTTATTTTCGTCGGGACAACCGATAATACCATTCTTAATTTGTCCAAAGTTCTTTGCACGTTCCGCCAGGGATGATAGATACCATCCACACATCTCAAGAATATACACAACTCCGTTAATAATCTATTACTTGTTACGTATAAAGATACACCCCTGATGCATTTCAGCGGGGGTGCGATCGATGTCGCTTACAAATTTCTCTCATGCTCCAGAGACTCGTTATAATCATGCATCGCACGAGTTGCATTAATATTTCGAGTTGAAACGTGTCGCGAGACTAGAAAAAATAATTTCGCCCGGGAATCGTTCTCCGCGTGCTTGCTAGCCTGCTAACTGTAACGTTCCCGCTTATCCGTCAGTGTCATTTACATGACAAGATGCAAATCGCACGCGCCGCGAGCATCGCCGTCTCTAAAATGCAAATTAGACTTGTGTAAATACGTTATAAGAAGTGTCGCTTATACGGCCTTTCACGCTTGCCTTCTTTATTTTTTTTTTTTTTTTTTTTTTTTACCGCGACCGCGCGTGCTGAATCCGTTGTCGATCTATTCTTTTTCATGCTCTCGAAATGCCGAATCCCCTGCGCGCCTCTCACCCCAAGCCACCCTCATTATCATATCGCAGCGGGCTCGCGCTTTATTTATTCTCGCACCCCATCGCGCTCGTTTGGCGGGATGAATGAATTATACCAAAGACGCTTCATTGAGCGGCGATCGATCGATGATTGAAAGGTCGACGGGGGTAAAGCGGCGGATTACACACGTTCCTCTTCTACTGCGAATTGACTGGCGTCCGTAAAAGGCAGGCGAGCAATATTTCTCGTTAAAGATTTATTTCCGTATAAAGGTGTGTTATATAAAATGTGGGCGATACTGCGACGGTACATTTTAATGACGGGATGTATTAAATACGGAATGTAATGCGGATGCGTAAAACAAATGTTTATCAGAAATGCAGATAATAAACATTTGTTCCACGCCGCCATGCTACCCTTATTATCTCGTGACGTCATTACGGGTTCGTGCATCAAAGACAATTTTGCGTGTACCGACAGCGCAGTGTTTGCGAGGTAGGTACGCAACGTATTAAACTTTTTGAAATAAAGCGAAGTTTTGAAGACTTAAGTTCGTCCGCTTGTCTGGTTTTGCACCGATACCGCTTTCAATTAACGGACAAAGCCGTGAAAAAGAGCACCGGAGAATCCGTGAACTTCGCGAAACAGTCTTGGGGAAATTTTGTGCGTTTTATTGCGCCCCTTTACCTCGTTCGGTATTAATTAGTCTATTACTCGTTGAAGCAACTTGTTCGGAGTGCCTGATATTTACCTAACAAGAAGCGTCCAAGTACCGTACGTACTCGTAACCTTGTCGTCGTCGTTGTATCGCATACGATTTTCCGCGAGGAAAATCCGTGCGCGAAATTGGCGTGGCGACTTAATAATGCGCACGAATTTGCACGCGCGAATCTTGGTTCGCGTTCCTTTTGAAAATACGCGACCAGAAAAAGCCGGCGTTCATTAGGAGTAAGGAAATCACTGCGCGGAATATATACCATGCCAAAGATTTTCCGATCGAAACGCTTTTGAATTTCAAATTGCTGCTTGAGACACATTTATACGATTGTATCTCACGTATTCTTATTTTAGGCGACAAAGTGGCTCGTGTACGTACCGTAACGTTGCTTCGCGTTAAATAACGTAATGTTTTGTATGCAGACGATGAAATCGATGTGGTGACAGTGTGCATGCATCTAACAGAGAGAGAAAAGAGAGAGAGAGAGAAAGAGAGAGAGAATAGAAAAATGAAAGAGTGTTGATATATTAAGACGTTTTTATTGTAAGTATAATTTGTAAGCACATCTGTAAATATCGCTGTACTATAAATAATCGTGTAACCGTCGATTCGATTCTTTTCCGAACTGCGAATCGCACATTTTTACATTAATCACGAGGAACACGAGTTGATTTAAACGACTTAATAAATTGTTACTATAAAAAAATAATACGTACGACGTGTATGCGCGCACACGTGTAAGTGTGAGTTAATATTTTGTTATAAAGTGCAAGCGAGCGAAATTCTCGTTCGCGTACATAGATCGTTGTCACTGAGAAAGTTTGGGCCACGCGTCATCTGTTAATGTCTGGAATGACGCTGCAGGTAACGAGTAATGTTTTCAATTTGTGTAACTCTCCCTTGGATATATGATTTACTATAATAAATAATTTATGGAAAACGTAGTGCCCGTGGCATTCATTAATTTTGTTTTGTTTAGCGTCTCCAGGAAGAATATTACGAAACCAGGAAGAATATTATACATT